GCTGCCAGTAAGTGATCTAGGTTAAATTTGTTTTTTTTTTTTTATAAAATTCCACATACTTTTAGCTTCTTTACATTAAAAAAAATAATGTATTTCATCGTCAAGTACATTACATTCAGTGCACAGATTGTCGTCAATAATTTTCCATTTGTGTAATAATTACTTTCTTGTGGGTACAATCATATGTAATAATTTAATGTTTAGCTGTCTAATAAGGTTTTCTTTAATACATTTTACTTTTCGGTCTAACACTATATATACTTGTTGTGTTTTCATACTTAAAACTACATTTTTATTTACTTTTGCTTTTTCAATATTTTTTGTGTGTGCGGATAATCCTTTTCCATTTATTTGGTACAGCCATTTTAATTGTCGCGTATTCTGAAGTCCAATTATGTTTCACCTTCAATTTGCTCACAAGCTCTTGCTCAGGAATAAACATATTATTTTTAACTATATCTTTTATTTTATAAATTTCAGAAGTAATACAATTTCTGTAGCATAAAGAAACATTTTTTATACATATGTTTTTGTTACCCCATAGACTTTGTTCCATTATGGCATTGTACGTTTGTGGATAACATAATTGGCTTTCATTAACGCTTACGATTGCTTTAGCAACCGAGTTATAGAAGGGTGGCAATTTTATATTTTGTGGAAGCTTTATAAAATTAAAAGTAACATTTATTGGTCCAATTTCTTCAAAGTAATTTAATGGTAAGTATTTCCATTTTGCATCATCATTTAAAGACGTTTGAACCACTTTATTTTTAAAGCTGTTACTTGTGCACTAAAATCAGTGACTCTAAGCCCACCTTGACAATAGTCTGCATACATGGTGCTTCTTTTTATTTTATCTTTTTTATTTTTCCATATGAATTTAAATATTATTTTTTCAACATCTTTTACTATATTTTTCGGTATATCAAGAATACTTGCATTATAGACAAGTTTTGATAAGGCTAGTGTTTTGACAATAGTAATCCTACCAAAGATTGTAAAATTCCTTTTCTCCCATACAGCCAATACGTTTTCTAATGAATCAACCTATTCCTTCCAATTTTTTTGGTAGCAAAACTCTTTGTCGTGGCCAACGTAAATGCCAAGGATTTTAAAAGGAATTAATGGCCAGCATATATTACCTGTATCCTCATTTTGTTTTTTCCTATTTAACCATAGTGCGTTAGTTTTATCTTTATTTAATTGTAAACCTGAAACCTTTCCAAAGTGTTCAATCAGTTCTATACATTTTACAATACTCTTTTTATTTTTCAGAAAAAGAACAGTATCATCTGCAATTTGTGCAATTTTGACCGTACGATTGTCTCTATTAAAATAACGGAGTGTATTTAACATAAACTTTCGGTTAATTGTATCAAATGCCTTTCTGAAATCGAGGCTTAATACTGCTCCTTCTGATTGATTACTATCTATGTATGTTATAATATCTTCAATTAAGCGTATATTGTCGCCTCCGAAACGGCCTTTAACATAACCTTTTTGATCGTTATTCACAATTGAATGAATAACGGTTTGTAATCTTTTAGTAAGTACGAATGTTGCAATTTTATAATCAATATCGAGCAGAGTAATTGGTCTCCAATTATTTAGATCTTGGTGATCACCCTTTTTATAAATTAAATTAATTAAGCCTCTGCGTTGCGTTGCTGAAAATTCTTGGTATTGATAACCATAATTTAAGGCATCACATACAATATCATCAATAATAGGCCAAAACTTATGATAAAATTCTACAGTTAAACCATCAGAGCCCGGTGCTTTATTCTTTTTCATTTGATTAATAGCCTGCTCGCATTCCAATAACGTTAATTCACCCTCGCAGACTTGTTTTTCTGCTTCAGAGAGCACCTTTAAATCAATTCCTGACAGATATTCAGTAATTGCGTCATTGGAAACTTTTTGTTTTGAATAAACTTTCTTTAAAAAAATAACTTGTTGTTCAAGTACTTCATTGATATTTGATGTTAGTGATCCATCTTGTTTTTTCAATACCTTAATGTGCTTATTTTTATTGTTGTTTTTTTCCTAAACCAAGAAAGAATGTTGTGTTTCTTTCACCTTCTTCAACCCATTTAGTTCTACTCCTAATCTGGGCACCTCTGGCTTCTGTAATATATATATATATATATTATCTAAATCCTTTTTTCTTTTTTTCTAATTTTTTTTCTAATTAATCTGTTTTTTTTCCCTTCCAAATTGGGCAGAAATTTCTTTCATTTTAATTTTTATCAATTCCCATTTATCCTGTGGATTTAATGCTTTTATTCTGCATTGTTTAACTAAATTTATAATAACTCAATATATTCATCATCTTCTAGGTGTTTATTATTTAATTTCCATATACCAAGTCCTCTTTTCTCGCTAGTTGTTTTGAATTTTAACGAGACTTCTTGGTGATCAGTGAGAATTGCTGGTCTAATATCCCAGGAATTAACGTTTTGTATTAGATTTTTAGAAGTAAATATGTAATCAAGTCTTCTGTCATTTATTTAGTATAACTTTATTCGGAAAATTAATCTCAAAATCGAGTTGCCGTCCCCGGCGTTGCCAGTGACGTCGTATGAATTGTGTGATATTTTTACTAATTAACCCCTAAGTAAAAAATAGTTAAGCCATGTATTACCTTGCAAATCAACCCAGAAACTCCGTAGTTTGTTGATTGTTTATTGGTAGCGTCCCTTTGCTGCCAAAAATATTTTTTGGCAGTTGCGTCCCCGGTGACATCGTGAGGTCATAGTAAAAGCTGGTTACGATTTGGTGGCACATCGATTGAGTATTTTCCTTCATCTGGCCATGTAAGTCAGTACTGTCTCTTATACACATCTAGATGTGTATAAGAGACAGGGGTGAAGTGGGAGGGGGCATCGATGATCAGTTGAGGGGCGCTAATTCGTAAAATAAGGTTATTTTAGGTGATTTTTAACTGCTTGAACGTGATTTGTGGTTAACATAAGCAAGAATTCAGTCCAATGAAACTGTTTATCATTTTGATACCTTCCGACGAAAATTGACCCATCCGGCGTCACCACGGCGTCCCACCGATCGATCTAACGTGACGTTGTTATGTGGGTGTTTTATAGATTATTGAGAATGGTAATATCACCGAAAAAAATAAATAAAATGACAGTTGAATGACCAACAAAAACAACTGAAGACAATAATTTGGTATAACTTTATTCGGAAAATTAATCTCAAAATTGAGTTGCCGTCCCCGGCGTTGTCAGTGACGTCGTATGATTTGTGTGCGATTTTTACCAATTAACTCCTAAGTAATAAATAGTTATGCTATGTAGTACCTTGCAAATCAACCCAGAAACCTGGTACTTTGTTGATTGTTTATTGGTAGCGTCCCTTTGCTGCCAAAAATTGTTTTTTGGCAGTTGCGTCCCCGGTGACATCGTGAGGGCATGGTGAAGGCTGGTTACGATTTGGCGGCACATCGATTGAGTATTTTCATTCATCTGGCCATGTAAGTCAGTGGCGTATCTAGATGTCTTAAAATGGGGGGGGGGGCTGGAAGGTGCAGGGGGGATCGATCATCAGTTGAGGGGCTCTTATTCGCAAAATAAGGTGGTTTTTAACTACTTGACAGTGATTTGAAACTAGTTTCAGTATAATCTTAGGTGAGCATGTGCTTAACATAAGCGAGAATTGAGTCGAATAAAACTGTTTATCATCTTTATCGCACAAGGCAGGACAAAAAATTATTACAATAAAAGATGATGCAATGATGGTCTATGAAAGTTTTCTTTAAGAAATGTGGCACTACATAAAACCAATTATAAACATGGATGTGTACAACGATAAATACGGTGAAAATTAGGCTAAATTGTCATAGAAGTAAAAAAACGCGAAAGAACAACATAAATAATAAAAGTAAACAATATAAAAGCAGTAAACATTTAAATAATTAAAACTTTAACAGACAAAATGAGGCTAAAAAATTTATGTCATAAAAGTAAAAAGCGCGAAAGAAAAAAAAAACACTTAATAATAATAATGATTATAATAACAATAATAATAATAATAATAATAATAATAATAATAATAATAATAATAATAATAATAATAATAATAATATTAATAATAATAGTATTATAATAACAACAACAACAATACAACATACAAATTCAATAGTAAGAAAGATTGGGGGAACACAATATAATATATACAATATAAACCATTGAACATTTAAATAATTAAAACCTTAAAATACAGATAATATTAGGCTAAACAATTTATGTCATGAAAGTAAAAAACG